AGATCCATTGAGGGTCAAAACCTAGGTATGTTGGGGCAATCTAAGAATTCACTCAAGTGGGTGATCATAGTGATAGGATCGATTCTTTTGTTGGACAAAGTAAATGATAGGGTTTACACTCTCTCTGATGGAAACCTAAAGTGCCAGTAGTGGATTTTGACTGTGTTTAAAATATGGTTTTGCAAATTATATTTATATGGTATATATATTATGTTTTATGAAAAATGTTTGCAAAAGGTTTTAATTCCCGGAATCCATCCGAACAGGGAGTGTGACACTGCACCTTGTAGCCAGGGGAGATGTCCTTCTATGTCAGGTAGTGTTCGATCATTATGTGCCGAGAGGTTAAGTGTAAGAGACCATTACAAGGCTGATTACCTTATGGGCTTTATCTTACTTAAGTCCATTATCCTTGGGTTTTCGTAGGATGGCTGAATTCAATGATTATTTAGTTTAAATGTTGGGCCCATTTTGAGCCTATAGTGATGTACTCAAGGGTTCACTTCATTCAGTAGTGAATCCGGCCAGGCCTTTTCATAGAGGCTGGGCTGAAACCCATGTGGACTTATGTGAGGTCATTGTGGGGTCCCACGCCATATAAATCAGGCCTAAGTTGGCCATGCAACACTCTTGAGTTGTGAGCCTTATAGCTGATGGGCTTAAAGCCCATAATTAATATGATTAGTTAAGTTGTCATGTGACATGGGGCGAATCTGGATTTGAAAATAGGTATGGAGCACCTATCCTCTTAAGAGGATAAGGCTTATCTCTTAATAGAGTCCAGATCCAAATTAGATTTGGATAGTCTTCTAATTTGATTAGGAGAAGTGCTCCATAAAGTGATAAAAGAAGAAGAGGGCGAATTCATCAAGAACACATCTCAATTCTTCTCTTTCTTCTTCTTTTGTCTTCTAAGAAACCCTAGTTCGACTATAACTTTTAGGATTGATAGAGATTAGTTTTTCCTCTAATTTTTGCAAGAAAAATTCAGAGAAATTCTGTGCTCACCTCCCCAATTCGACCCAAACAATTGGATTGCAGTTTTGCTGAAAACTGCGTTGCTGAATCAGCTTCAAGAGTACACTGCGCCATTTTTAGTGAAGGCTGATTTTAGGACTAATTTGGGTGTGAGTTTTCACATTGGGATCTGCATTTGTGGTATCTATATTAAGTATACATCTCCCCTTTTATTTGGTTTTAAATCTGGTCCAATTTAGTGCAAGATCGATATAAGAAAAATGTAGTTTTTCGAAACATAGGGAATTGGATTCCTAGAAGGATAGTGAATTTTTTTTTTTATGAAATTTCGTCCAACTATCTAGCATGGTTCGATCATCCATATAATGGATCATAATCCTTCACCACATCTATAAGATGAAATACTGTTGTATGATATATATGTTGAATTCTCTCCCTCTAACAACTAGTTTTTAGAGATGAATACTCCTAAGACACGTATTAGAACAACAAAACAGTAGAATTAATGGAACATGACAATGGTGACAAGAGTGAGAGAATTTAATTGAGGACAGAACGTTATGAGATACTAGCAACAGGAGCGGGTTATTGGTGTGAGCTCCATGCTAGAAGAAGAAATCAGGGCATTTTTTTTATGCCCAATTGCCCAACGTCTATTTTCCCTTTTGGGCAAATTAAATTTCTTAAACTAGGCTTATAGTTTAGCTAATTTATTAACTCTATCGTTATTGTTTACTATTGTCTTAAACCTTTTAAGTTGCAATTGACTAATTACTCACTTACGATTCTATTACAATCCGTTCACACGTCATACCAGGTGATTATTATATTTTGAAAAAATAACAATAATACCCTTTTTATAAAATTAGAGAAGAAATGACATTATTACTAAGTGACTATTATATTTTGAGAAAATAACAAGAATATCTTTTTTATAAAATTAAAGATAAATTGATACTATTACCACGTGACTATTATATTTTGAGAAAATAACAATAATACCCTTTGTATAAAATTAAAGAAAAAATGGCATTATCGTTTGAGTAATGGTTTAAGCAAAGCCACAAGAAATGTGGGTGGTTATAAAGATGCAACACCAGAGAGAGGTCGCTTGATGTTCAAAACGTGGGATTAAGAATCAACATGAACATTTGAAAGGTGTTTGACAGATACATTCAAGATAAACAGATCATGTTCCTACCAGACCTTGGAACTAAGATTCAAAATATTGGTATACGTCGATATGGGTGCATCGGACGAACCGATACAATGTTTCAGGCTTTTTTTTGCAACCGGTTCAGGGGGGGTGATTTAAGTCTCCTCTACCATCTGAACCAGTCAGACCTCCGATACACCCACTGTAGGGCATATCGAAAGGGCCAACCCACTATCAGGACTAACTGAGAGTCATAAAGGTAAGATTTGGCCCTCAAATAACACGTTCGTTGGCCACACACATTTTCTGATTATGTGATTTCTGTGATAGAGTCTTTTCTTTTTTGTTTTGGTTTTGTTTTCTACATCAAGGGTCTAAGAATCTCCCTGTATATATTTTGATATATGCACTAGCGGTTGGTCCCCTGCAAGTCTGCAACAGAAAACAAGAAATCACTGTTTTAGTTGGGTAATGATTTTAGAGAATAATGTGACAGAATTTTAAATGTCACTGTCACGCACTCCCATAGGGGTCATTACTCTTTTTTAAGAATATATTAACAAATATTAATTAATTAATTAATCTAAGTTCATTTGGTTACATCAAAAATATTTTAACAAAGGTAAAAAAGATTAAAATAACAAATTCGCTATGAAGTTAAATGAATTAAACTCCATTGTACTATTTTTCCAATGTATTTTATATTATTTTTGTACACATTAAATTATATATTTTTTCTTTAATTTTTCTTAGTTTAGGAAAATTGAAAAATAAAGAAAAAAGACCTGATTAGGCCAGGCTTGCCATGGTGCCTGATTCCTCAAATGAAATAAAATTTTCACAATTTTTCTAACTTATTGTATATTATTAATATTAATTTTCTGACAATATATGTTTTTTTTTTAATTTTCTTAACTTAGGAAAATTGGAAAATAAAAAAAAAGACCCAACCTGCCATGACCCGTTTCCTCAAGCCCGACCCATTACGATTGGGAACTGGGCCACAGGTTGTGCCCAACCTGACTTGAGAGGGGGCCAGGTTACTGGGTGGACGGTTTAGCAGTTTAATCGCTTAGTCAGCTGCGTCAGCAGTTCATTGACCAAATCAACACTTTTTGGCAAAAAACCTGTTCCCGGTTTTTGCATTCTGGTCTAGTTTCCAAAAACACTGCTATTGACAATTATCAGAATATTTAGTAAGTTCTCATTGGATATGCTTATTATGTTTGTACCTATTAGATCTGATCCCCATGAACACCGACTGGGGAGTCACAAAAAATTGGCCTGTTAGGGCGGTGTGAGAATGAAGAGCATGGTGTTTTTAAAAATCGAACCAGTATTTCAAGAAATTGTTCAATCTAAAAGCTGAACAGTTTTAGCCTTGGGTTAAAGGCAAAAGGGGATGACTTTTCAAATAATTGACTCAAGATTGATTACTCTCTGGAATTTTCATCAAAATATAGCTTATAGGCTGTTCATGTGGGACTCAACTCTGGAATTTTTACTAAATTCTAACCCACTAGTCCAATTATATAATACTAAAAGACGATTTTTAAAAATAAAAATAAATTTAAAAACCAATTCAGGGTATAGAAGATGTTTCTTTTAAAAAACCCAACAATTAAGGTTAAAGTTTTGATATGTATCAAGTTAGACACATATTAGTATTTTGAGTGAATTTTACAATCCAGGGGCGGAGCCAAGTATATTGGTGAGGGTCCTTGGCCCCCCCAATTCAAACTTGAGCTAATATGTAATGAATCACTCTCTAATGCTCCTCCAACTCCCAAAATAAAAAAAAATGTTTATTTTTCTTTAAAAAATATGTAATAGACCCAAACCTTCTCAATCCAATTTTCCCCAAATCCTACTTGTCCCCCCCCCCCCAAAAAAAAAATAAAAATAAAATAAAATAAAATTCCTAGCTCCACCACTGCTAAAATCTGAATTGTTTTTTTTTGTTGCCCATTCTAAAAACAAATCAAAACCATCTGGTGTAAAATTAGATTGTTTCTCAAAACAAAAACACAAAAAAAAAAGAGAAAAACATGTTAATTGTGTTTGATTTTTGTTTTCAAAACTGAAACCAAAATCATGCTCTTGAATTTATGGTTTTAAAAAACATGTTTACATTAGGTTATTTAATATCATTTTCTGTAAATCATATAACTTCTACACTAATTAATATAATTTGCTTTTGTTTCAGAAACTATTATTTTGATGGTTCCGAAAAATGTATTGTTTTTTTGAAACAAAACAACCAGTTTTTACCTTTAAGCTGTGTTTGGTTGCAATGCAAATGAATTTATGCAGATGCAAAATTATGACAATGCAAATGATTTAAGTATATATTCTGATATTTTTTTTTTGTTAAAATTTAAGCTTATTTTATTTGATTGCAATACAAATGAAATAAATTAAGACATGAAGCAAAATAAAGTAAAACCCAAATCAAAATTAAATGAGAATTTATTTATTTTTTTTATTTGCACTCTCATGCATTTGTACTAGTGCAAATAAAATTGCACTGCAACCAAACACAACCTTAAAAACAAAAATAAAGTTCAAGAACATATTTTTTTTTTTTTGCTAATATGGTAATTTCAAAAACATTCATGTTGTATAACACCCCCTAATTTGTGTAGTAGTAAGAAAATAGGAGTATCTGAAAAATTCCTCCATATACAGAGTGTCAACGTACTTCTATTTTGATTATTGCTACTCTTGGTGAATTTATTGCAGATATTTCATTGTAGTCACAGTTTATTTTCAAGCCCTCTTATCTAAGATGTTTGTTCATAAATCTAGTTTTGCATTTAACCTTTCTTTAATTTCATCAATCAATACCATATCATCATCATCATCATCACGGAACAATAAACCTCTTGGAAATATTTAATCGATTCATCCATGACTAACAAAATATTTTAACATGATAAACACAAAGGACCAACAAAGCCGGTGGAGATGAGAGTACTGAAGAACTACATACAGATAAGAATGATAGAAAGACTTATTTCCTAGTTAAAATTCTCACATTCTCTTCCACATTCTTATCTCTAACATTATGGCAACAAGGATTAAGACCCCAAGAACAACTCCATAACCAGCTTTCCATCCATCCCCTTCTTTCCCTAAATGGATCCCATAAAATACATTCACCATTGATAAGATTATCAAAACCCTTCCAACAGTATGATGGTACCAATTCCAATATCTTCGTACTTTCGAATCCTTTCTTGGTCGGAGCATAAAAGCAATCACCTATAAATGAAAGCCAATTGAAGAAAAGAAAAGGAACTAGTTATTAAATTTATAGCCTTACTTTGATAAGAAGTGATTTGTTGCAAGTTGAAGGGATTAAAAAGGCTTAAAGTATACAAAAGAAAACATGGATTATTTAACAATAGATATAACATTAAACAGAATGGAATGGTGAAATAGGATTCATCTAGCAATCCATAAGTGGGTGTGTGAAGCTGCTGCAGAAATCAACATCAATACATCTAAAAAAGGAATAAAAATTCTTGTGGGTCCTAATTAGGGTAGGAAAAGGTAGGCCAAGATACACGTCAACTAAGGCTTTGTTTGGTTTGAAGTAAAAAGTAGAAAATCTATATAAAATTTGTGAAGGTTTTTCTACCTTTCCCTTCCTTTTCTTACTTTTTCCTTCAAACCAAACGTAGCCTAAATGCCAAGCCCAGCCAATTTGAGTCATAATATAGGGATTTTCTAAATGCTTATGAATTTTGATAGAATAATGGACGGCTAGGATGAGATGGGGGCAGCAAGCAATATACAAACCTGAAGGCAGCCAAGAGAAAGTATGAAGACCCCGAGCACCTTGTGCCGTGATACAGCAGCTTTGATTTGATGATCCAACACAAATCCCAAGATCACACCAATCGATCCCATGATGAAACCAAGAGACTGGATGGTAGCATGGAAGTAAAACCATGCTGGGTCCCACTCCCTGAAGTAACGGGCAGACATGGCTCCAATGATCATAAAGATGCTCCATCCCAACATATTCAGAGTCCCATGGCCCCTTCTCAGTTTCGTGTACGGCCTCTTCACACTACTTTGACCTGTAGATCAGACAACCCGGTATATGTGAGATTAGTCAGCAAAGTTAAAACTCGGGCTGCTTGATTTGGCTTGAGGGCTGGTCTGAACTCTGAACCCAACACTAAATTTAAAAGGGCCAAGTGCAATATAGTCATGCACATTCTAACCCAATTTTCTACACCACCTGGATATTTTAACAAGGTAGACGTAGACCTGTTCATGGGCTGGGGTTGAACTTAATTTGGTCAAAATTTGAATGAACCTAACTCAAAAAAGTGTAAAATGTTCATGGGCCAAGACCTGGCCCATGAACAGGTATACAGTTAGGAGTGAAACTTGTGTGGACTTAGGATTTTGTCAAAATTTAAATAGGCCAAGCTGTTGGATTAACGTAAAATGTTCATGGACCGAGCTCGAAGCTTGTCCACAACTAGGGGTGCAACTTGGGTATGCTTAGGTTGTGGTTTTGTTAGAATTTGAACGGGCTCAGCTGAGAAACCTGGGCCTAATGCAGTGTAGAATCTTCAAATTGGGTACCCAGCATACACCCCCTAGATACAGCTTAGACATGCTGCTGGTTGCCAAAGCTGTAAAAGAACTGGATCAGAACTGAATAGGCTTATATCCAAATCCAATCCAATAAGAATCCAAGAGATTCATATTCGATAGATATGTCAAACATAGATTCAAATTTGATTGATTTGCATATCTGGATATCTAGTTTAAATCCCAAATTCCACTTAATTTTAAAGAATTTCAATACTAAAAAAATGATATTTTGTATATATTGGATTCAATCTAGTTGATAAACAGATACCTGACTTAGACAAATTGGATAAATTTGAATTGAAATCAGAATAAAAACCAATCCATTTGCAGCCCTATTTGCCAATAATCCTTTTATGAACTGTACAGTCTACACTTAGCCTATTATTTGGGTAACATGATCATGGATTCATGGCTGTGGTCAAAGTGTAATGCTAAAAGAGCTAAATGGGGTTACTGTTGCTCTCACCTGTTACAAAGTTCATAGAAGTAGAGACTCGGTCCTGGTGTTGGGTCAAGCGATAGTCTGATGATGGGAACCAGTTGCTTGGGCCGAGCGAGTAAAGAATCCTGGACTCTGGCTCAGAGGTGCTCAATTGAAAGGCCAGGTACAACCTAGATGACTGAGATATAATCACCATGGAGTTGTTCACAATTTGCAGGTTCCCTTGGTCGGGTAGGACTTGGTTCTCATTAGTCGCTCCTAGATAGTACTGCTTAATAGCAGGAGTCCCACCGGCAGGAGCCCATCCAACAATGGCGCTACTGCCGACCATCAGGCCATTGCTCGAGAACCCGATGCCGACGTACGACTGTATGTCCGGCGCCGATAGAACAAAGCTCCACAGCTCCGGTCCCGCCTGCAGATACTGCAATATAGAACAAATGTTACGTTCTTCTTGCATCTATTGATCGATCGATGTTATGGGATCGTAATCTCATGAGACAAGGACTGGTTACTTACTCTAAGGATGTAATCTTTTGCGTTCCAAACAGGATAGCAATGAAGAGAGACAGTGTCAAAGGACACAAGCCCATTGAGATTGAGATTAGAACTGCAAGAGTCTGATTGTGAGCTAGCAAAGGAAGAAAAGCAAATAAAGATGAACAATGTGGCCACCAGAGAATTCTTCACTCCCATCTCTTCTCTGTTCTTCCTCCCTCTCCTTTGGATGATGGGTTTGTTGGTGAAGTCAAAAGATGCTTTGTTATGGAGAGGAGCTGGTAGGAGTAGTTGGGATGTATTGTTTGTAGGACAAATGGCACAAAAAAGACTGGTGCTAGATGTTAGCTTTGGATACAAGCTAAGAGTCTAAGATCATTTGATCAATATGTATCCAAAAAAGAGAAGATGTTGACAAGGAAAAAAAGCCATCTTCTCCCTTCCTACCTTTCTGTTGAATTAAATTAAATTGTATATAAATTATATTGGAGTGGTTATTGCCACAACTAATTCTCTCCAACTCCATGATTTAAATAATTATAGTAAAAATATGTCTTTATCAAGATGATCCATTTTTCAATTTACTATCTCTTGCTGATGTGAATCTGATGAATCTCTTGGCTAATAAATGCTTAAAATGTGATTAATGGGAATTTGCTTATGCATGGCTTACCAACCAAGCCACATCATTGAAAAAAGTCTCAAGAAAAGAGAAAAACAAACAGTAATGAAATGTATCTGGGTCATGTGTCAATGAGTTGGGTCCTGACCCTGACCTGAAACAATTCCAGTTCAAATCCAACCCGATCCATCCAATTTATAGTGTATATATCAATACTCAGATAAGCCTTCAGATACAGATATTTTAATACTGCAATGTCAACGGATCAATAGCAGGGGTGATCATTTGGCTCAGTCTGCATATATTTCCATATATATTTTACGAAGAAGTACGGATACACACGATGCAGAATTCTGAATTCCAGCCCCCCCTTCCCCCTTACTACTAGCTCTCTCCCCCTATAAACCACATCCTGTCCGTGAATTTGGCATCATTTCACGGTCAGATGCATTCCCCCTGTACTTTGGGGCTATAAAATTCTCATCTGGGCTGATTGGTCATTCTCCTTATACATATATTTATATATTATTTTATGTTATATTATATATATATTATAATATTGTATAAAAAAAATATCAAGCCTTCACAACTTAGCCTAAGGCTCAACTTATGTTTTAGACTCAAAATCTTAGCTAGGTTGTGCCAGGTCTAGGCTTAAGCTATAACCCTTATTATAGGTGCAAAGCCAGCTATTAAACCTCTAATCAAGATTAATAGGGCCGGGTCGTCAGTGGAAGGGACTTACCACTTAACCTAGCCCCCTGACATCCTAGTGGGGCTAATCAAGGTAATTTGGCTAATTTTCATGGATATATAAAATCCAAGCAATTTGTTATCTTATTGATAAAAGACAATGAAGGTGATACAGGCCCAGTTTGTTTCTTCTATTATAATCAAAAGCCAGCTATAGGCTTTTGGAACTGAATATTATAATTTCCAACAATTTGAGAGAAACGCAATTTTTTATTTTTTCTAATGGGTACAATTATATGTGCATAAATATTGGCTTAGTAACATTGAGTACCAAAAACAAATTATTGGTTAACTCATATAAACATTATATATGAATGGCCTTAACTGTAGGTTCATGATTGAGAAGACATGAAAGCAATTGGATAGGAATTCAAGTAATATATTCATTCCATTTCAAAGGCAGGTGAGGGTTTCATGTGGATTGTGGATCAAAATCCAGTCATTTACTTAACGTGTTTAATAAGCAAGTTCTCGAGAGGACCTTTGTGGTCTTAAATTCCCTTTCACTTTTCTGGGACCCTTGTGGCCTTAAATTCCCTTTCCCTTTTACTGTTCATGGGTCGGGCTGGGTCGGGTTATTGAGGTTTTCCTAACTGACCCAATCTGGTCGGGTTATTTGAGATGGAAACTGAAACCGACCCAATATTAAGTAAAATTGAGCTGGTCGGTTTGAGTCGGTTTCGGCTCTAAGTTCATCCATGCCCCCCATGGCCACCTAGTTTTCTGAAAATACATTTAAAACTGAAATATGTATTTTAGAAATATATATATATATATATATATATA